TACAGAGGCCTCCCTTCCTATAGTCTCTGAAGTGGAGAGGTCTCAGGCCTTGTGGTGAGGTCCTGGACATCTGGTATCACAGGTGTTACGATTCACATGGGGTAAATTTCAGAATAAGTAAAATGTCCTCATTCATCTGTCGTTGGTATGGAGTCTGCACCTAAAGTTCATGGCCTCCTCACGGATCAAATTTCCATGGTGTCATCCTGAAAGATGAGATCCTATCTATGTGCTGCTTGTAAGAGAAATCGGGGCCAATTTATTCAAAAGGGAACAAGGTGTCTTCTGAGATTAGAATCTATTTACAAACTTGAACTACAGTGCAATACAATGTTGCTCCAAGATACTTTAAAATGCCTTCTACTCCTTAGAAGGCCACAGTCCAGTTCCTTTTTATCGGGCATGAATGACCTCTGTGGCTGCCTGTGGGTCTCATACTGGCCTGATGATTAGTGATGTTGGATATTTTATTTTCCTATTATGTCTGGCATTTTGAACTGAAAAGAGAGAGTGTGGTTGATTCGAAGAACTGGAGGCATAAGAACTATGAAATAAAGCTCAAGAGGTAAATAAACTTCACTGAAAGCTTATACATCCTGCATTGAATTATCTCTACGGTAAAAGGAAAAAACACGGAGGGATAAAAACCAAACAGTGCTTCTTAGAGGAGGTGGCACTGTAACAGGGGTCTTGACCAAGGGAAAGACTATGAATGTGGTGAGGGAGCATGAAGTGGGCTGGAAGGTGAGGGCAAGGGGCAATGGACAGGTGAAGCCACTGAAATAAAACACCCAGAGCCCGCGGAGACATGGTGAGCAGCCTGCTGGAGTGACTGAAAGAAAGGAGTAGACAGGCTCAAAATGGAGATTAAAAACGGATCGTTTGCTTTAAAGGCACCATCTTTAAACACTGTGTTTGTTTGTTTTTGTTTTAGGGCACCTTGCCTGTTGAAGCCCAAGAGAATGTCTTATATCTGACTGCTTTTACAGTGATCGGAATTCGAAAGGCTTTTGATATATGCCCTCTGGTGGTAAGCAAGCATTTGCTTTCTCTAGCACCCATCTATAGCTGGAGGACCCACTGGAAGGGCCACCAGTTAGAAGACCCTTAGCTTCAAAAGCTTCTTTTCGCATTCCTTCAAGGCAACCAGAATCAAAGGTTTTCACACCTATCAGATATTAGAGACCACTGAGCAAAGGTTGAGTACTCCTGTCTGTAAAACAGAAGTCAGTAAGATACAGGAAGCCCTTCTGGACCTTGTCGCAGTATGCAGTCCACATTTGTGATCCTAGGGAAAAGTTATCGGAATTCCATTATATAATTCCAGTCTTCTAGTTCATCCAAGACCAGTTCCCTGGGCCCTGGAGGACTAGTTAGACCCGGTGGCCAATGCAAGTGTGAGACACAGGGGGAGACAAGAGGGAAGGACCAACCAGGATATTAGTGCCCTCCTTCAGGTTTTCTCCTGACGCACTCATCCCAACTGAAATCCTCAGTGGCCTTAGCACAAAGTGACAGGGACCCTTTTCCCAGGAATTTGCAGGATCAAAAAGCACTTTGGCAGATGGCCAGTTTTTCTGCTGTTTATGGTTTTGTTATTTGTTAAGTATAATTTCTTTGAAACACATGAACCTGTCTCAGCCATGCTGAGAAGGAAGGATGAAAGTTGTATTTATTTTTGGTGCTGCTTCTTCCTGGAAGCCAGACCTGATGTTGGAACCAGGAATCAAGAGACCAAAACCTCTATGAGGAACATGGGAGTTCAGAGGCCAAAGCTTAACCCAATCTGGACAGCCACTTTCCTCTTCTGAGGTCATGTTCTACCCCTTCTTAGAAGGACATGCTCTGCTGAGCTGTCATCCACTTCCACTCTGCTGTCTCCATTGCTCCTTTTATCTCACCTGCCGCAGGATGGTGCAGCCTGGGTGCTGTATCCATCTGCTGACGGCTGACACAAAGAAACTTAGGTATCTTCTGCTCTTGTTTCCAGAAAATCAGCGCTGCTGTAACTAAAGCTGACACCTTCCTGCTTGAAAATACTGTCCTATCCCAGAACACCTTTACGCTGGCCATTGTGACCTATGCTCTTTCCCTTGGAGACAGAACACACCCACAGCTTCGTTCCATTGTTTCAGCCCTAAAGAGGAGAGCGTCTGTTAAAGGTATGCCTCCTTTCGTGCATTTATTCAGTGGGGATTTACTGAGCAATAAAGTTTGCTAATCCTAGGAAGTGGATGGCATAAAAAGTTGAGTAAAACACAGCTTGTCCCTCAAGGAACAAAGAAAGCATCACAATCAAAGCAATACATGCTCTTCACTTATGAATTCAGTTGGTAAATATTTATTTATTCCTTTATTCAACAACTGCATGTTAAATAGCCTAGGATATTTTTTGTGTGCAATTATTCTAGGCTCCAGTGATAAAGCAACAAATAAAACTGCCCAAAAGTATCCACATCTTCATAAACTAACATTCTAGTGGAGGAGTGGAGAAAAACACAATAAATAAGTAAAAATTTGTGAGTAGGTTAGTGATAAACTGAAATGAGGGAGGGGGAAGCCAGGAAAGGAGATAAGTTAAGGGGGTGGGGTGTGAGTTCAGATACGGAGATTGGACGTGAGCCTTCCTGGAAATACAGAAGTACATTCATGTGTCACTTGATGGGGATTTGGAGAAATACATCATTAGGCAATTTTGCCATTGTGTGAGCCTCATAGAATATACTTACACACAATATATGGCACAGTCTATTACAGACCTGGGCTGTCTGGCCCCAATGTATACATGGTTCTCACTGAAATGCCATCATATAGCTCATGACTATTTGAGTGGAGACCTGAGAGGAAGTGATGAAGCCACGTGGCTGGCTGGAAGGGTGTTATTGAGGGAGAAACTGCATAAGCAAATGCCCTGAGACAGGAGCATCCATGCTGCTCCAAGAATTGCGAGAGACAGTGTGATTGCACAGGAGTGAGATAAGGAGCAGGACATGAACTCAGGGAAAGAAAGGGTGAGGGAAAGTGAGCTGTGTAGCACTTTAGAGATCATTACAGGAACTCTTCGTGGCTTCAGTGTGCAGCTGTGCAATGTGAAGGCACCTGTTTGGATCCATTTTCTGTTACTATAACAGAATACCAAAGACTGGGTGATTTATAAAGGAAAGAAGTTTATTTTGGCTTATGATTCTGTAAACTCAAGAGCATGGTCCTAGGCTTTGCTTAGCTTCTGGAAAAGACCTCATATTGGAAAGTGCATGGGAAGTGAGCCCATGGGGAAGAGAAGAAAAGGGCTGAACTCCTGGAATAGCTCACTTTTTTCCACCAAAAAAAAAAAAAATCCATCCATGAGGGCTCCCCCACCCAAGCAAAACACCTCGGTAGCCTCCACCTCCCTACAACACAGCTAAACTGGGAACCAAGCCCCACCATGAGTTTTGGTGAGGACAAGGTACACCTGAACTATAACAGCACATAAGCAATCGGGAGAATCCAGGCTGAAATGTGGCCCAGGCTCCACAAACCCTGCTGTAGCTGCCTGCATCCAGAGCAGGGCCACCTGTGTCTCATTCATACCCGAGTGCTGAAGGGAAAGGGCAGAAAAAGTCATAGAAATTTATTTTCCACTTTGAATGAGAAAAAAACCATGAAGAACTTTAAGAAAATCAGTGTGTAGCCTACCTTATATCTTACCAGGTAGCTGAGGCCATTGGCAGAATTGGATAGTTTGAACCCTCTCCTTGCTGAGTTTTCTAAAAATTTTACAAATCTTATATAAGCTTTATGACCATCTGTAAAATTTCACATCACTTAAAGAGGACTAAATTGGAACATATACCTCAAAACTATTCATATGGTATTTCAAAAATAACACAAAATAAATCCCTTGGGTATTATCAGATATGAACCGTAAAATCATAGAATTTAGGAACTTGAAGGGAACTTAATGATTTAAATACTGTTTGAGCTGGAATTTTCTTTTAAAATTCATATTAAATACACCATCTCTGAGAGGAAGGGGAAACTATTTTGTCCAAGGTCATGACAATAATGTAATTAACAATTCTAAACAAATGCACCAAAACTGTGACCAACCTTCAAAAATAATTTCAAAATATACTTTACTGTGTTTTAATATTTTTTCCATAAAGATTTCAAGCGATTGGTTTATATCACAAAGCAGTAACAAATATAATTTATGAAAAGTGTTGCATATATGAAATGGCCTTTGTTGCTTTAAATTGAAAGAAGACAATAAATGACTGAAATAAGGATTTGGGTGTGATCTCATAATTTCCAGGATGTGAATTTTTCAGGAAAAATGGTTCTCTAATTTATCTTACAGTGTCAAAAATAATTTTTTATATGTGTGTGGTGCTTTTTTAGTTTGCAAATACTTTTCCATTTAAGATCTCATTTGAATTTCCCTATATTAAAGAAAGTATTGCTTACCTAAAGTCTTAGAAAATTGAGCCCCACATTACCAAAGGAACTTGCCCATGTTAATTAGTTAATTAGTAGTAGAATAAAAGACTAGAATCTAAGCTTACTAATTCTCAGTTTATTACACTTTCCATTCTAACTCCAACCTCTCCCTAGTACATGTGGCCTTTTCATGTTGGTCTTTATAGAGATGAGTAAGTAGCACTATACTAAAGAATCTTGATTGGCCACCTTGAAGAAGCTCTCACCAATAAAAATCCAGCTGTCTCCTAAAAAAACAAAAGGCCTTAATATACCTGCTATAATTATGTCAAATTCACATTTTTAATCATATTAACAAATATGACGTGTTGATATCAGGTAATCCACCCATTTACCGTTTTTGGAAAGACAGTCTCCAACCTGAAGGCAGTTTTGCACCTAATGCCGCTACGGCCACAATGGTGGAAACAACTTCTTATGCTTTACTCACCAGCCTGAACTTGAAAGACATGAATTATGTCAATCCTATCATCAAATGGCTATCAGAAGAGCAGAGATATGGAGGCGGCTTTTATTCAACCCAGGTATTATGTCTTTGTCTTGTATCATTCCTCTACGTGCTTTTTGTTTTCTGCCCCACACTTTCCACACTCTGCCCTCTATGTCCTTGTCCACCAAATGTCTAGCGTGGAAGGATCCCTAGAGAGGAGCTGCAGAGGAAGAAATATACTCAGCGAGCTTCAGTCAGACACACAGTGGCAGAGCCAAGATCAGCACTCTTGCCTCCTGAGTCTAAGCCCAGTACTTTCCTTTCATGATTCTTACTGACCATGAAAGTCTAAAAAGACCACCAGCAATTTTATCATGTTCTGTGTAATAGTAGTTGCTATGTAGAGGGAAAAACTGACATTTTTCTTCACCTGAAAAATATAAAAATTGAAAGAAATATAAAAATTAAAATAAAATTTGATGATTGTATTACTCATTAGAGTATTATATATACACATATTTATAGCTATTACCATGTGCCACCTAATGATATTTTTGTCAACAGCACATTGCATATTCAACAATGGTCCATAAGATTATAATGGAGCTATTATTTATATATATATTATTATATATATTATATTGTATATAATATATATCTATTATATAAATTATATATGACACTAGTAATTATAGCTATATATTGTCTACTGACACTGTAGTAATATATTATAGCTATATATTGTCTAGTGACACTGTAGTAATTGAAATGTCATAGTTCAACACATTACTCATATCTGTGGTGAGATTAGTATAAACAAACCTATTTCCCTTATCATCATATAAAAGTATAGCACACAGGCATAGTATACATGCTTGATAATGAATTGTAGAATGATAATCAGCAATGATGTTTCTGGTTTCTGTATTTAGTACACTACAGTCTCTGTGGGGAGAATCTAATCTAGGGCCTTGCTCGTTTCCATTGAACTACACTTTCTGCCTCTCTACTATGTTTTTAGCATTATCTTAAATTTTACTCATTCTACTTACGGAAAAAGTTTACTATAAAATACACTCCAGCAACAGCTTCATGCATCTCATGTTTACCGTGTCCCTTACTCTGTCAAGTGGTCACACTGAATGACTGACCTACACCACTGGTGATGAACCTATGGTATACGTGCTGCAGGGGCTGTCTGTATTACTGAGAGCTCTACAGAGTTCTCCCTCATGACCCACTACTATCCAGGCATATGTGAGTACACTTCAAGATATTTGCACACCAACAACTTGCACAGTGCATTTTTATATTTCTGCCATTAACTAGTACATGACTTTATATCTGTATTCAAAGTTTAGCTCAAGTGTCCACATCTGCACTGTGTCCAGGATGTTGAGATAATAACACAGTATGTATATGTAGACATGTAAAATTTAGAGGCACAAGGAACCTTTAGGATTGACTTAATGAACATTTCATGGGTTTCACCATGGGTACAACACAGGCGGGGGGTCTGCCTTGTATTTAAATCTCTGACTTAGTTACCTTCTCTGATTCTATAGATGAGGAAGATGGATTCCAAATAATACTGTTCATTCATTTATTCCTTCAACAATTATGTATTGAATAGCCACCATATGTATTCACTAAATGCAATGGACACTTTCAGTCAGTTTTGTGCTGCTAGAACAGAATACCACAGACACGATCATTTATGATGAACAGAAATATTCTAGAGAGATGCTCATGGTTCTGGAGATTGAGATGTCCAGGACTCAGGGAGCATCTGAAAAGGGCTTTTTTGCTGCATTATCCCATGAAGGAAAGACAAAGAGAGGGCAAGAAGGAACTAAAAGAGAACAGAAGAGGGGACAAACTCATCCCTGTATAAGGAATCCAGTAATCCACTCACTGCTGTGACCCGAGCTCCTCCCATTAGGCTCTGTCTCCAACCTCCCACATGGAAAATTAAGTGACAACATATCAACTTAAGGAATGCATTCAAGTCATAGGAAATACCAAGAAATATATGCTACCTGTTTGTCCCACAAATCTCACTTTATGGAGTAGGACAGTCAACAATAAACTAACTATAGATAAAATTATTATAGGTTGAAGTAGATGATAATAGAAATTGATATAATAGGTAGAAAAATCAGCATCATAACATGAAATAATGGAAAAAGAGAGTTTGTAGCCTCACTATAGAAGTAATTATTCTAAGACTGAAGGACAAGAAAGATAGCCAAGCAGAACTGAGGGCATTCCACAAGGAGTGACTTGCCCAAGGTTACACACGCCAGAGTACAGAGAAGTCCCAGATAGGAGTCTGTATTTCCTCTCTATTCCTGCTAACATCTTTATTAGGGAGAGAGAGATCTTTCTTCTCCACAATGGGCCTTTAGTTGGCTTCACTCAGTCAACTGGAGTTTTTTTTTTTTTTTCAGACAATGCTCCCTACCTGTTTATAGACATGGGTTATATAAATAAACATATTTCTGTCTCTCTTTGATTGCTGATAGGATACAATTAATGCCATTGAGGGCCTGACAGAATACTCACTCCTCATTAAACAACACCAACTGAATATGGATATCAATGTCTCCTATAAGCACAAAGGTGACTTCTACCATTATAAGGTGACAGACAAGAATTTCCTTGGGAGACCAGTAGAGGTAATTAATTTTTCTTAATGTTTTAACAATTGTATGTAACCACTGAAATCATCTGTTCCACCCTTAGTGTGCAAATATATTTCACTGTGTAAACATGTTGAGTACCTGATTTGTCCAAGGCAGGGACGTCTGTTATATTTTGGGCCTTAGATTTCAAAAATAAAACCCAAACACAGTCATTTAAACAGACAGTGAAAAATAAGATTGTTGGTAGGAATATCAAATGCAGAAGGAGAGGCCCTTAATCCAGGCTGGAAAGTGGGAAGTTTGTCTAAAACCCAGATGGAAGAAGCAGAATTAGCTAGCCAGTTGTAGAAAGGAGAACATTCCGGGCCTAGGTAATGGCACACACAAAGTTAGCATCATAGAGTAACAAGTAAAGATGTTAGGGAATTTGCTGGTGGTTTAGGTCTTGGTCCTATATGCAGACTCCAGCCAGGTTGAATATGGCTTTTAAATTTCCAAATTTCTTGCCTTGTGTCCTTTGCTACTGCTGGATTTTTAAAAGTGAAAACTTTGGTTTATGAAAATTTCCCAAGAAAAAGGAAACATTGGAGAAAAACAGACTGTATACTACCATTCACTTCCAGGATATAACTACTAATATGTATTTTTCTAATTATAATGTTTGAATTAAATGTACAAATAATTGGAAATAGTACTCCCTGTCCACACCATCCACAAATTTATGCTTGTGAAAAATAAATAAACATGAAATATAAAATTCAGTATAAAAACAAAAAACCATTGGTCTAAAAGAGAAATAATGTGGATATAAATAAAGACATACACACAGAACTATGCCAGTTTTTAAACAACAGATTTCAAATACAAATCTAATTCTCACCTTTCCTTGAGACCTGAGTCCAGGATGCTGCTTCCATGTGAAGCCTGGACTATAAAATCCAGGGCCTGACTGTTAAAGTTCTCTACACCAGCATTTTCTGAAATGTGTTACACAAAGAAAAGTTAGGTGGTCAAGTAAGCATGGAAATTCTAGTTTAAATGAAGTCAAACAAATTTTCAGTGCAAGATTTTCCTGTTCTTTAACACATATGATGGTAAAGCGATGGGTACAACCTGCAATGTTTTCCAGACTTGTTTGTCTTAGGAATCTTTTTTCTTGTAGCATCTCAGAGCACTTGTTCTCCATTAAAGGCTACTGCATTTTATCTGGAGAATAGTAAAAGTGGCCAGTTTCCCTAGGCAAAGGCTCAAGAAACTTTTATGCACAGCAAATCCAGGTTGTATTCATGTGCTAAGCACAGGAAAGGGGAAGCTGCACACTTGAAATGAAGGAAAGGCTGACTCTTCAAGCTCTTGCTCCCTTGATCTCCCCCATACTTTCCAGAAATTAGAAAGCATTTGGATCACAGATTTTCTCTGGAGAGGAGAGGAGAGGAGTTCACGTCTTCACTTTCCTCTTAGCAGAGCAGGAAGTAACAATGGATTTAGCTGGCTTGGAGAATGGAGGCAGGGTGCCAGATGTTTGGACAAAGGCCGGTGACAAGCAAACAAGATGAACTATCAAGATGTAGAAAAGAGGTGCAAAGGGAAAGGCAGAGAGAGCTAAAGAGATCTTGCACCCACTTTAGAGTCAAGTATCTCAGTGATAATAATGAAAACAATCTCCAACTACACATCAGATGCTGAAAATAATCCCCAGTGGTGGATACTAATACTTGAACTATAGATACTGAAAGAAATTTGTTCACTGGGCCAAAGGAAATGAAGATCCAGTTTTGCCATAACCATGAATAAGTAAAAATGCAAACGAAAGTGAGCTCTGAAGTGCTGGCTTTGTTGGCTCGCTCAGGAGATCTCAGACATCTTATTTACACACGGAAGGGAGAGAGGAAGTTCTAATGTCTTTTAGTGGTGACTGGGGGCATGGGATTTTCAATGTCTTATCCTTTAATCTCATGAGAAGCCCGGAAGTGTCAGCCTACGCTTTTCATTGTTTCCTAAGCACTTTTCATTCTTCCCATTATTAAACAATGATTGAAAGCCTGGTTTCTCTATCCGTCTTTCCAGGTGCCTCTCAATGATGACCTCATCATCAGTACAGGACATAGCAATGGCTTGGCTACAGTGCATGTGAGTGTTTAGTTGAGAGTCAATAAGAAGTTTTGTGTCCATGTGTTCTAAGTTGAGGACTTTGCTACAAAATAATACATCTGAGGTTGGATAACCATGACTCAATTAGGACTCCAAAAATTTTATAGTTCTTTTTAGCTATCTTGACCAGCTGTTTTTACAACTTTTTTATAATGACTATGTTAATCTTCATATATATATAAAAGGATGCCTTCTGTATATTTGTAGAAGTTATGTAGTATATAGTTATATATATTCATGCACTGCATAGTGATTTTGCTATCAAAGATGGCCTCATATATGACAGTGGTCACATTAATTTATATCATAAGTAACACCAGTTTTTTTGTTTGTTTGTTTGCTTGCTTTGTTTCGTTTTCTGGTACTGGGGATCAAACTCATGACATTGCACTTCCCAGGCAGGTGCTGTGCCACTAAGCTATATGCCCAGTTCAGTGTGTTGGTTTTTATAAATATACTCTATGGCATTTGCACAGGGTTAAAATCACTTAATGACTCATTTTCCAGCACACATCTCCATGGTTATGTGGACATGTCTGTACATAGATATATAATTTGTATTATATATGTGTATATACATATGTCACGTATACGCATATGTGTGTATATGTTTTCTGTGATCAGTAGGCATCGCACTTAGCCAGTACCTTTGGGAATTGATTATATGTAAAGATTTTAAGTTTCTTTTATTTTAAACAATTATCAGTTGCAAATTTTCCTCAGCACTTCATGAATGGCCATGCTATCTTAAACTGTATTCTAAGCAGAAATTAACATCTTATTGGTGCCTTAAATTATGCTCTTGTCTTTAGTACATTTATACCTTCCAGGACTCTATGTAAGACTGCATGAGGGAGAGTGGATCATCTGCTTCTCTGTCACTTCTGGTAACACCTTTGCTGGTCCAAACACACCCATAATTTGTTATTTATCTTGGTGGTGTGTAGGCTGGGATAAAATCACACTTCCAACTTTGTAGTGTTATATGTAAATTTAAAGTGTACAGAATCAGAGAGAACTTGGCATCTTTCCTGTAGTCTAGATTGTTCATAGATGATGAATGGCCTGAAGCCATTTTGTTTGTTTGTTTCTCAGTTGTGCTTCAGATTATGGAGTTTGATGAAAGTCCAGCTGTTGAGAAAATGACTTATTTATGTTCACCACTCCTTCTAGATGCTGAAAATGATACCACAAGCATGCCATTAGCAGTAGGAGTACTACCATAATACCTTTTTCATTTTCCTGTTTTAAATAGAATCTTCTTGTTTTCATGTCCCAATGTAGGTAAAAACTGTAGTTCATAAAACCGGTACTTCAGAGGAAGTTTGCAGCTTTTATTTGAAAATTGATACCCAGAACATTGAAGGTAAAACAGCATGATTTACATTGTAATTTGGGCTTTCATGTAGTGTCACATAGAGAGCTTCCCTTAGTAGGGAAAATGTTCTTGTTCAAAAAAACAAAATATCTTACTCTAATTCTCAAGCAAGTTGACATCTCAGTAAGCCATTGCCATTTATTATAATGTATATAACTCTTTAATAATAGGAACAAATGTTAAATAACTTAATAACTAACTATTCACTATGATGATGTTTTGATTAAAGGAATGTAACTATCTGTAAATTAGACCACAAAAAAAGGTCTAATTCCTTTGAATTTCCATGCATTTGTGTTGGCATTTCATTCCTGGGCCCTCAGTTTTCTTGTCACCCTGTTAGTTTTCCACCTCTTACCTCTCTGCCCTCTATGGGATCCCACAAGTGTACATTTCTCTGTCTGTATTTTATCTCAGTCTCTCTAATACATATGTTCTTTTCATTAGTGCCCCTCCCCACCTTTTCTAAAAAACCTGAGGGCTTCTCATTCCTCTGAAGGCTGGATCTCACTTCCCTCACTTCCCTCTCCAAAAACGAAAGTGGCCACTTGTACTGTCCAGTCCTCTTCCTCTGCACTTTGCCCAGGACCACAGTGTATACTGCTTCCATTGGTGGCTCAGTGGCCTGTTCCTACAGGAAACTTCCAACGACCAGCAAATCCAGGCATCTGCTGTTGCTCCTTTCACCGTCTGCCAAACACGTTTCCAATACATACTTAAGCTAAACAATTTCCTCCTGAAATTATAAATTCTTTGACAGCAGAGAACTGTTCTAATCACTTAAAATCTTCTTGATATGATCCATAGCCATGACTGGGCATTAAAATCACCCCAAGTGCCAATTTTCAAATTATAAATCTTTTTTTAAGTATGTTGCAGACTTTCTCATGGATGATCTGTTCTGTCAAGTTCCAAAATAACTAAAAACAGTTTACTTCCTGTCTGTTTTTACTAGCATCTAGATACAGCAGCATCGGTGACTCAGGATACAAGCGCATAATAGCATGTGCCAGGTGAGATATTTGCACAAAGTAGAATGTAGATTTCAGTATCTTACTTTTGCTATCATGTTTCTCTGCATCTTTTTGAATTTTAAGATGTCCAGAAGATACAAAAGTGTCCAGTTTTTAAATGCAGCATACAGCAAGGATACTCAAATACTTGCTTTGATTTTGCTCACATGTAGTTTTCTCTCCTGTTTGTCTTCTCATTCAAACTGTATGGCCATAATTTTTTCAATTTGGTCTTTCAGAAGGGTAGAGGTATGATTGAAATAACAGAGAAAAAAATGAAAAAGTTTCACCTATAACCAACTCCTGCTCTCTTAGAAAAAGCACATTCACCCAACAAAATTCTCAGCCATTCTCAACTCAGGCTGCACATTGCTGTCAAAACTTTCAGAAACAGCTTATCTCAGACCACAGGCTCAGATGTCATCCTAGCATAGCCAAGGTTAAGAATCTTTGATGCTGAACCACTAAATGCTGAGGCTTAAACTGGCCAATGTCATCTCTTAGGGTTGTTAGGTAACAATTTACTGAAACTTCATACAAATGTCTTCTCCTATAATTCTGAAGGTCAGAAGTTGTAAATCAAGGCGTTGTTGAGGTTGTATTTCTTCTGGAAACTCTAGAGGTGAATCCATTTCTTTGTCTCTTCCAGATTCTAGTTCCTCTAATGTTCTTTGGCTTTTGGGCTTTTCCTCTGTCATCAATACTAGTGCTACAGAGTCGTCCAGTCATTTTCGGACTCTGATTCGTGTTTCCATTATCACACCTTTCTCTCTTTTATTAAAACCCTTGTGATTCTACTGGGCCCACCCAGATAATCCATAACAATTTTAGATTTTTCCTTTTTTTTTTTATCGGTACCGGGGATCAAACTCATGACCGCCTGCTTGCAAGGCAGGTACTTATGCCACTGAGCTAAATCCCCAGCCCCCAACAATTTTAGATTTTTAACTTCAACTGTAAAGTCCCTTTGGTTCTAGCAATTAGGACATGGGCAACCTTGGTGACCTATTAATCTACTTATCACAGTCACCATCCTAAAATGTTTGTGAAAGTGTCCACTTGTTTTGAAAATATGTATATATTTTTTACATAAGTTATCACAAAAAGTGAGTCAGTTAGTGGGGAAGACAGAATTTAAACACAGATTTCTTCCCTCTTCCCCCAATCCTTCCTGCTGGCCTCTGCCTTCTTAATTCTTCATATTGTCAATACAGCAACACCCACGAATGGTATTTTTCTGTTTTTATTTACAATGGCACATACTACCAAGGCACTCAATATGGATAATTTAGTAGTTGGGTAATAGACTGGAGCACAGAAGGACTGTGGGCACAATTCAGAAATTCTTCTGTTTTAGAAATAAAATGAGACTCAAAAGGTGAAGTAACCTGCCAAGTTTTCAGTTAGAGGCAGAACTAGGGGTTACAATCCGTGT